TCATCATCATCATCATCATCATCATCATCATCATCATCATCATCATCATATATATATATACTGGTTGGTGTTTTCAACCCTCTTGAAACATATTAGTGAGAGGGTCCAATCATCCCCAAGTAAGGGTTGAAAATACAAATATCCGAAACCATCACCTAGTGTGTATATATATATAGGCCATTGTTAACTGCAACAACTCTGGTTGTGGAAATCAGTCTTCGCAACCGCTTCTGGCAAACCGCCCCTTTTTGCTTGACAAAGATTTACAGGACTCCGGACTTGTTCACGTTTTGAGACACACACACACACACACAAACAGCAACATCAAACAACTCATAAGATCTCATAAGTGCATCATGAATGGAAACTCTACGCTGGGCAGCCGGAGCTTCTCTTGCAAACTAAACAAGGTCATTGATTCCCACGGCACGTCAAACGGCACGTCAAACGGCCCGGCGCTCCCCCCTGTTGGGGGCCCAAATGGTGGCATCGCTTCCCCAGACCTGGGGTGGCATCGCTTCCCCATGTATCAAAATAACTCATATTTGCCAATCAATTGAGCCCCCATCCCCCGCCCCTTTTTGTAGGTAGAGGTCGGCCAGTCCGATGGATGGTCTGGTCTGCACCGTTGCACCGAGGGGCCACGCCGCCGCTCATGCCGGTGCCCAAGATTTCGCCCGCACGCAGCTCGTAGGAATCCTCGAAGCTGGTGGTGCTGCTGGCGCGCACCTTAAGGTCAGGATCATGGCAAACGAGGTAGCGAACGACTAAGAGGAAGAAGTTGACGATATGATCGGGAAAAAGGAACGGCCAGCACGGCAGCCGTGGGGAACGACATGAACGAATACTATCAGTGCATAATGGACACAGGCCTTTCCAAATACGGTGATATCACACAAATGGCCTATTTATGGCTGGATAATGTACCACTTTGAAAGAGCTTGCGCTCCAAACCTGGAGGTGGGTGTAGGCCGGCGAGATTATTTTGAGATACCTCTCAATCTTGGGTACGGTATATCATGTATATCCAATTCCCTGGGCCCAGTGGATGATGATTAATTAGTAGCGGCCTTTCTCAAAAACAATGATAATTGTTGACCGACTGTTGGTAATGAGACACCCCCAACGTCAATCTTGCTAGATTCTAGCTTGGACCAGGACCAGGTTGGTCGGGCAGGTGGCTGGGAAGGTTTCTCGGTGTCAATCCCGTCAATGCACCCTTTGAGAACCCCGAGTTCACGTTGCCGGCCGTGGAACCGGACTCGGTTGAACGCTTGGAACCGGCACATCGCGTGCGGAAGCCTCCCGCCACGTCACTAGGCGGGTCAAGCGGACGGCAGGGTCCACAGTGATGTCCTTGAGAATGCCAGAGGCCTTGCAGCCAAGGCCAGGTTGATTGAATTTGCGGGGCACCCAATTCATCATTGAATCAACCAAGCAAAAAGCCAGTTGTTTCGAGGAATTGCTGAGGTGTCGATGGTGAATGGCGGTGCCCGTGGGAAAAAGAGAAATGGTCGAAGCTCCAAACACACTTTGGAGGGTCTGACCACACTCTTGTTGCATGGTCAGAGGCTTAAGGCATACACTCCATTGAAATAGTCAGTCTTGAAAGTGGATGGCCTGACCCCTTAGATTACCATTTTCGAAAACAACACAGGTGGTGAACTCCACTTCCATGATTGTTTGGGGAGTGAAGTGGTTTTCCATGGTTTTCCAATTCCATGATTATCTCAATTGTCCAATCGCTCCTGGACCCCTCATAGCCTGGGGTCGAACCAATCCCTAGGATTTGAGGGACCAAAGGCTGTTTGAAGTCTCTGGGTGAAGGGTTTCATGAGTGCAAAGACCATCTATCAAATTCAATTGCAGTATTTGGGTCTATTTGGAAGTGGGTCCAAACCCGCAGCCTACCAGTCCACCATGATGCTGTTTGACTTCCCTAGTCTATACCCTGTTCATTTTCTGTGGTCAACCAGGGTGCCATGATGTGCCATGACCCACAGCCACATCAACACTCTTGCTACTAATGGCTTCTTGTTGCTACTAGGGATGGCCTCCAACCTCATAGCGATGGCCTCCACCTAGTCGCTTCTAGCTACTAGCTACCTTCTTGTTAACTACTAGCGATGCCAGGAGCTACCTAGTAGGCGATGCCAGGAGCTGCTTCTCGTCGCTTCTAGCTACCCTGACAACGCCTGGCGCCCCACGGGTGACAGTGCTGCCGCCGGCAGTTGGGGTCGCGTGGGCGAGGCGTCGCCATCGAGCGCAGCGGGCCGCGCAGCGGCGGCCGTCTCCTGCCGAACGACGGAGGCTCGGCTGCAGGCTGCTGTGAAAGGTTTAGATGTGCGTTTAATTTTGTTTAGATGTTCAAACAGTATGGAAAAGTTGTAGTAGGTTGAATAAATAATTCTGAAGAGTTCATATTCCCTTTCAATTTATGGGTCATCTGTCTCATTACATCTCATTACTTTTAAAATCAAAAACCACGTCATTCATGTTGGACATGGTTGAACCCTTGCCACCTGTGCATGTTCGTTTGGCAATGTGATTTCGCCGTTTGCATGTGGTTGCACTCCAGCTTCAAAGGTTACGCTCCAACTTCAGGTTGAGATTCTGAGATCTATATAATTGTTAAACAAAGACACATTCTGATGATTTTTCGGAGTCCAAGCTGTCAAACCGGAGGAGCCATTGGCATGTTCGCGCACGAAGGGAGTCAATCATGGAGAAAACCATGAATCACAATCAATTCGGTCTGGCAGTCTAAGACTGCTTCATGATTTGAGCAAACTTCCAAGCTCCAAAAGCCCACTATTATAGTCCACTATAGCGTTGTTCTGCGAAAAGAACACCCTTCGCCCCTCGCTTTTTCTTTCTCTAGGTCTCAGAAGGCAAAACCTCCAGAGAAGTGGAGATCCAAGAAATGGATCTGCTGCTGCCGCTCTCGACGGGAGTGCAGGCGTTCCGTCCAGTAAAATCAAACCATGTGACTCTTGGGTGATTTACGCCGGTCTACGCCCCCAACAAAGATCGTTCATCTGTATACGCCCTCCCCTGGTCCAGAAACTCTCGTGCAACATCCAATCGCCCCCTGCCTCTACAACAATCTCTTTCGACTCCTCAAAGAGCAAGCTTCGGCAACAACGATGGATGGATTATGAAGATCCAGAATCGGAGTCTCAAAGTTTCAATGCTTCTCAAGATGAACCCATGACCTCCAAAATAGATAGAAACACGTTCATCTCCCCCTTAAGAATCTCTAGGTGTCACACTAGCCAACTATTTGGAAACCACGAAACATGCACTCGCCGTTTGGCCGCTTTGGCCGGTGGTAGCGCAGGAAGTCATGCAGGTCCGAGGGTCTTAGGTCCTCCCGAAACCTTCGCCTCGTGCCCCCGTGGTCGGCCTTGTACCTTAGCCTGGACCGGCTACGACCAGGCTCTGGAGCCCAGCTACGACTAATCCATGACTGTGGATGACTCTGAAGCCCAGTGGTTCTGGGATCGACATCGACATCCTGGGAGACATTGAACACGAGTCCGATCGATCATCCTCACTTGCCTGGGTTCGAACTTCAGCCTGTCCCAGACACTGCATACTGGAATTTGTTGTATACATTGACCCCCCAACCACCCCTGGCCTGATCGGCAGTCCTATGGCCGCCCCACTGATCGTGTCTTTGTGTGCGTCACGTCCCCCACGTGATGCCAAGGATCGTAGGAAGCGTCTCCAAAGCGATGTCGAAGGAGTTGCTGGCCTGATCGAAGCAATCGAAGCCACCAGACATCAAACTCGTGCTCATAATAAGGCTGAATAAGGGAATGTATCCTAAGTTGTGGCGGTTCACTCCCTCATTCCCTACTGAGCACCCCCAAATAGATAGAAGACAAAATCCCCACGAAGATGCATCGGAAACCACGCCACTATTATTTGGGGACGACTAAGGAGGCACCCTCACGAGCTATTTTCTGATCAAGGGGCGGTATACTTCGATTCGTCGATCTGAATTTGTTGGGTGGTATCACCGCAGTATGAACACCTGGATGGGGTATCCTTTTGGTCCCATTCCATGTGCCATTCCGACACGGTGTTCAAACCAATCGACTGACACGCGCAATCGACTGACACTTCAGCGTAGTCCTGACAGGGCGCCGGCCTTGGATGGTCTCCAGGGTGCGATTTTTGAAGTCGCCCTCCCAGCGGACCAGCTGCAAGTTCTGCTCTGGCCTGAAGTCATGCAAGTCGGCGTGACCGGCGTGACTGGCGAATGCAAAGGACCCTAAAGACCGGTGTTTTAGAGGGAAACGCAGCCAACCCACAGGGTGCGTTTAAACCACACACGGTCCATCATGGTTCTTTTCGGCAGAGAATGTAGGGCTCTCAGGAGTTTAGGGGCCCTATAAAGAAATCCTAGTTCCCCCAAACAATAACCATAGTAGCCCTATATAACCATCTTGGTTTCCTATAACATGTAGCGAGGCAGGGATGGCAGAAACTTGGACATCGGAACCATCTGCAGATCTTTGTCGAGGTCCATCTGCGCTTTGGCTATACTCAATACATCTCTATAATGACCCTACACGTGGCGTCAGCACCATGCCCTCGCATCATGACCATGCCCTATCTCTCGTAAACGGACACATGTGGATGACGCCGTGCATCCTTCGACGGTTCGTCACCGACTCGTTACCTCACCAATGAGCATTATCGAGACCCTCGAGGGAACCCCTGGATCAGCGTATGGAAAACAAACTCCAAGAGCGAAAACCAAAGCACACCATGAAAATAACAGTGCCAAGTTGGTGAGGACATCCCCAAGACGTGTGAAACTATGCCAAAAAAACGGACGTTGGCATCCCAAAAATAATACTTGTTGGAATTCCTTAGGTCTAATATGGTATATATATATAGTGACTTAGCCCTTGGAAGAAGGTGAACATCTACCTGGTTTATTGACACTTGACACTTGATATCCCAGTGGCTCAGGTCACCAAGAGAGGCCTATAAGTTCGGTCGGTCACTGGATGGGACTTCAAAGTTCGGTCACGAACTGAAGAAACTGGGCCGATATTTTTTTGGGGGGTTCTATGGAGCACCTCAGTCATACCAATTCTATTTGGTTCGCATTCCACGAGAATGGTTTGCCCAAAACCAAGTTGGGCATTTCTGACCCAGTTGCTTCTTGGCAATCAAGTACTTGAACCTCAGCAGAGAGAGATATCGGTCTAAAGACCAACGTAATCTATGCAGCCATATACCCGGTAGTAGTCGCTGGACGACGCTACCGTAGCAGCAAGGTCATCCACTTGGATCAACACGAACGCTTCGAAGAGGTGGTGCTTACCATGAAGAAGAACCTCCTAGCGCTTTGTGATACTCCTTCACTCTTGACCTCTCCACACAGAAAACGAAACCAAACCTCTTGCAGAGTGGAAGACATGTGGCTGTGGGTCAAAACCCGGAAACTAGGGTAGATCGAATTCCTGTAGGTCGTCCATTCTGTTCTTCCCGACGCGTCGATGCGGTCACGACTGGTGTACAGGGCATTCTGCCATGTACCCAAAACACATGTGAGAGGTCCACATGAAAAAGCGAATTAAGACTCTGCGCTGCCGAACGTGAACTCCCATGCTGCGAGCCGGGCGGTCGAGATGCCAGATAGGATGTGCGCAAATCGAACTTTCTCATCTTTGCAAAAGAAGACTTCTGCCCCATCAATCGTACCATTCGGAAGTGATTTGCCAATGCTCTTATTGCGGTGTCGATTATGTATCCTCGGAACGATTCCGCCTGAAAGGAGTCGGATGTGAGCAACGAATTGACGAATCTCTCCAGTAAGGTCACGGAAGGTATTCTGCTCCGGGTCATGTTCGGGCAAGAGAAAACCTCGAAGATAAAACAACACCGCCAGTTCAACATATGAAGTGACAGCAGAATCATCTATCTTCCACCGGAGTTGGTCAAAGAAGCTTCCCAACATTCGCCAGCTCGGCGCACGCTCCTTCCACTTTTCATGAAGCGGGAGAGAAAGCACAGGCACTTCTGGTTGCCATGAAAAACTCTCAGGATTGGGTTCCCAATCCCAATGCGGAAAGAGAGAGAACACGTTCTCAGAGTCTGCCTCCGCTTCCATCCTCGCTTCCATTTTCAAATCTAGGTCTTGCTTTTGCAGAACCGCCGCCTGCATGTTAAGATTGGCAAGCCAATCCTGCCGCTGAACAATCGACTTTTTAAGCATATGTTCATCTCTTGGATGGATGCTAGTGCATTCCATGGCATGAGCTTTAGCAAACCTGTCCGCGAAACGATTGCCCATGATGTGTCGGATTTCCGTTCCCTTGGAATGAGCCATAGAATCCGTGATATATTCCTCTGGCAGGTGCTCAAACAAATGTGACGGGATCCAAACAGCTTGAAAAGGGTTCGGATGAACTTGGGATAAAACAATCAACCTCGTGTGGATGGCTTGCCACCATGCAAGGTGTGACCAAGAGGGATCGGGGGCCTTGTTCAACTTCAGCTCTTGGAGTTGATTCACCACAGTCTGACAGTCAGTGAAAACAGTCGTCGGGCCTGTACAAATACGAGAAGCCACAACCAGCGCCCATAGTTCCGTGGAGTA